AATGATAATAATAATAATAATGATGATGATAATAATAATAATAATAATAATAATAATAATAATAATAATAATAATAATAATGATAACAATAATAATAACAATAATAATAACAATAATAATAATAATAATAATAATAATAACAATAATAATAACAATAATAATAATAACAACAACAACAATAGGAATATTTATTAAAAATATATACTATGAAGCTTATGTTAATCACATTCTTGTTCAATTATGGGAGATTTATGCTTGGCCTATTTCAAAATTTTTTCCGACGAGAAATAATGTACATCTTAGTATCAGTGTGCATCCTTATTGTGACATGTGTGCGTAATTTTTTTTTTTTATAAAGATGATATTCTTATTAAACTAAAACAAGTACGTAACTACTAATTAATCATTTTTTTTCTTTTCAAAAGCAAGGAAAATATGTGTTCTTACACTCTTTTTGATTGACGTCTAATTGTAATAGGATGTTCTTTTCATAGGGTTCGGGTGTAAAATGTGAAGTGAAATTCATTTTTTTAAGAGAAAAGACTGCGGCAAAAAGATTAAATTATTATTCGAATTAATGAAAAGATGGGGAAATAATTAACTCTACAAGTGCATGGAAATCGAGCTCCAAATTAAAGAAACACATATTCGACTTTTTGCACAACGCCTTCCTCCTCCGGTACAAGTTCTTCTCATCAATACAATAACATATGTATTGTCTATATCGATGTCTAAAAAGTCCAGATTTTGTCCTTAGAAAAAGTTACAAATCACTACACTATTTTAATTAACAATAGGAATCATGGGCACGAATCCAACAACAATAGGAATATTAATAAAAAATATATACAATACATGCGCTTGGTTGGTGGATTCGTGCTCAGAATCGAATCATGGTTCGTAATTCGTTACAGTATTTTTTCTAAAAAAAACACACGTAAATCAATAATAATTTTGAATTATAATTCTAAATTTATAAACTAAACGTTCATACTGTAAACTGTAAACTGTATATAGTACTCAAAACGCTAATGCTGAATGAGAAAATCTCAAACAGATTAAAATCCATGAGGACAAGAAACTTTCGAGACGAAATTAAGGAAAGTATCGAAATAGTCAACAAAGTGAACAAAATCGTCATGTAATGTCCACAAAATTTTGTGAGAAAATTAATCGACTATCATCTCCAAAAGTTGGCTGTTGACGTGGCACAAGATTTGATTTTCTCCACTAGGGTTTGGTTTCTATCCTATATATCATAATACAGCCAGCTTTGTCATTGAACTTCATAATCATGCCACCTTGCACTGCCTACAATCTACCATCTATAACATAGCACTTGCCCTACTAGTCAGAAATTTTTATTAATAGAGCTTCATAATTAAATAATAATAAAAATCATAAGATTTAATTTTTAATGTTTAGCGAGGGTTATATGTATGAGTATAATATAAATATTTATTTATATGTTTTCTTAACAAAAAAAATAAATTGAATGGGGCTTAAGCCCCCACCAGATATAAGCTAGCTCCGTCCATGCCTCTAATTACTTTTGAATTACAGTCCGATTCATATTCCACAAAAATTATACAAATTCTGCAGTTCTCCCTCCATGTTTTTATATTTTGTGAGTTGTCATTTGTAATTTCTTGACGAATAATTTACTATATTGATGATATTATAATTTCTTGCCAAACAATCCTTGGAATGCGTAATAAGTTAGGCCAAATTAATAATACACATGATAGGCCGCCTATGAGAAATGGAAAAAGCTCCCTGTTTTGTCTTCGTTACAGAGCACATTTAACGACGATTTTTGCGAGAAAACCGTCATTAAATGTCAAACACAAAGCTGAATATATAGCTCTTTCAAGCACACATGCAAGGAATTACATAGTTTTTTTTTTCTTTTTTTGGTAGTTGGAAATACATAGTTGCTTGTGGGGGCAACTGCCTCATTCTAAAAAAGTTTGCCTCTTCGGATTTATATAAGTTTTTAATTAACTTGTGTCCCAATTAACTTCTAAACTATTTTTGCCTAATCTTCTTTCCTTTTTCCATTTATATTCGCATTTTTTTAAAAATTTTTTTGCTAATTAGATAACATATAAAACTAGAAGTTTTTTTTTTTTTTTTTTTTTTAATCATCATCATTATTTTTCAATTATAAAGTTTTTCCTTATGTTTGTACCCTATTAAAATCAAATCCTGACCCAACTACGAATATAAGCACGAAATGCTTTTAAGTGTGTACAATTTAGTAGTTGATTTTCTGGGAGATAACCCTGGCAGCTGGCAGTGGCGGAGCCACCTGAATATTTTGGTCTTATTGACTTTTTCTTTTTTTTTTTAGTTTTAGTTTTTATCTCTATAAAAAAATTAATTGGACTCCTATTTTACAAGAAAAATTATAATTTACCTTCACTTAATAATTAAAATATATCAATGTCGAATCTATTTTACAAGAGAAAATATAAATGTGTCAGTATTATATCTTTAGGTGGAGTTAAGTGCACTCGTCTATGCTTGTAGAAACAGATATAATATTTTCTAATTTAATGAGTATGTCCAACTTTTAGTAAATTATATTATAAACAGTAAATAACTTTCATTATCCATTTTTGGGCACAGATATAATAAAGAATATATACGTGTCGTGTAAAATGGACACTACATATATATATATTTATATTTATATTTATATTTATATATATTGTCCTTTTGAAACTTTACTAGCGTTTTTTTTTTTTTTTCTTTCTTTTCAGAAAGTACTTCAAAGATACGAGGATTACAGAACCAAAAACTCCCTGAGCTAAAGACAACAATCAGACCTTTTTTTAAAAAAAAAAAAAAGAAAAAAAAAAGAAAGAGTAATTAGCACTATTGATCTCTAAACTCTTTAGTTTCTTTTAATTTTAGCAAAACGACCTTACTGTTCATATGTTGACAATTAAACCCTTTCCTTGCAATTAAATAGAAGAGAATTAGGGGCAAGCTTGGTTAAAGCGCATGCATTTTTTAACGTGTAGAAAAGTCTACCATTGGATTAAAATTAATACCGACGGCTGGGGATAGTGAAATAAATTCTCACCCCAAATAATCTTCAATCATTAATAACTCTAGCAGCTTTTATTTGGTATGTGTTCAAAGATATTGCAAATAAGAAATCTAATTGCTTGTCTATAAATAGTAATTGTGAAGATTATATTATGTCTTACTAAACTTCTGAAGCATTTACAATATGATAATTTATATCGTCCCAACCTGTGTTTACTTTTACAAAGGTGGATTTGCCATCAACTTCAGTGGGTCCAGAATCCTTAACGTTTGACACAAAATATGAAGAAGAACCCTATTATACGGGTATTTCTGACGGTAGAATTATAAAATATGATGGAGCAAATGGATTCATAGATTATGCCTTCACCGTACCAAACCGGTAAACTTTTGTTTTTCACTATTTAATTTACGATATGGCCAAAAATGATCATTTTTTGAGATATTTTTAGTATATGACCGAATTTTTGTAAGATTACGAAAATGAATGTTTATCAGCAATAAACTATGGTAAATCAATAATAAACCTATTTATCATTAATTGACTTGGTGTATGGTGTATTTCTTTGATTTGGTGGTTTATCACTAATTAACCATTAATAAGCTGTAATTAACCAATTTCATTAAATAATTTTTTAGAAAGACTGAAAAAAATGGTGGCATTAGAAAGACTGAAAAAAATTTACAATTTTTTTATAAACATTTAAAAATTGTAAAGTCTATTTTGTTTAAATTTAAGACATTAGTATTTATCAAGCAGTCATGTGACCCACATGTGACCCATATGATTAATAATGGTAAAAATTGTGTTTCAATGATATTAGTACAAAAGTTAATGCAACTTGTAAAAAGTTTGGACGTTAATTTATGTCCTTTTAAGTTGTAAGGGAGCAAAGTAAGACAACGACTATTCTTTGCGGGGCTAAATTTTAAATTATACCTATTTATATATGAAATAATTTTATTTTTAAGATAAATTAAAGTCAGACCACTTGTTAAACCTGACATACTATTAAGCTTGTAAGTTTCACGAAAGACACACTAGTAGAGAAAAATTATTAGCATGTCAACCATAAAAGTCAGATTATGCATAAATAATAAATTAAGAATAGAATAATACTAGGGACACTAATTTAGATTTCAATTTTTGTATACTAATTGATGTAGCATGTGAGTTGTCATTTTTATAGCGGAGAGTGGTTAAAACATAGTCATGTCAATTAATAAAAGACATTGCATTTACTAATAAAAAGATGACAACTCAAACACTACATCAGTTTATACACAAAAGTTAAAATTAAAGTTAGTGTCCTTAACTTTACTCTAACAAAATAATAATATGGTTCTTTAATGTGGCCAAGAACCAACTACTGATGTGACCACACCAACAAAATTATGACTTAAATTTCGAATTCCAGTTACAACTAACGAAATCATAAATTTGCTCCGAAATTCCACATCCGAAGCTTAATCCACGATATCTCCTTCAAAAACGCAACTTGCAATTGTCTCGGTGGCCAATTGACATACTCCACGTCTTCAACTTTGATTTGGTTGTATGCATAACCTCTTCGATTACGCTTTTGCAATGAGATTTATAAGAGAAAGCCAGTGAAAGAAGTACTGATGCATAATTGACATGTTTTTTTCGGATAAATTATAATCACTATATTATTATAGTTTTTTTTTGTTTTTTTAAATTATCGAACTTTGATACATTTTTTATGTGTATAAATACTGTATAATATGTGTGTATATGTGTGTGTGTGTGTGTGTGTGTGTGTGTGTGTGTGTGTGTGTGTATATATATATATATATATATATTGAACATCATGCACATCAGATCAAAGGAAGTATGCGATGGAATTGGAAACAATAGACCCGATCTGGAACCTACTTGTGGGAGACCATTAGGTATAGGGTTCTACCTTCGGACAAAGCAGCTTTTCATTGCAGATGCTTACCAAGGCTTCCTTGTGGTTGCTCCTAATGAAAGGGTTGCAACAAAAATTGCTAGTGGTGCAGAAGGAGTGCCCTTTAAATTACCTACCGGTTTGGATGTTGACCAATTAACTGGAAATGTTTACTTCACAGATGCTAGTTCCCAGTATTCACTAAGGTACGTTATATATATATTCCTCAACTAATTATATATATTTTTGATTATACCTCAAGGTTAGTAGGACAAGATATTAGAAATATAATCAAAGATAATTAAAGTGGACTAATTATTGGCATTATTGCAATGCCAGAAAAGTACTGATCAATGCTGGCTACAATATATTTTGCATATTACCTTATTATTTGGGAAAAAATTAAAAAAAAAACTATTTTTATTTCATTATGTTTATTTAGGCTTTTATCTCTATCAATAATGATCTATTTTCTTATTTGAATTATGGAGGGGTTTATTACATTATAAATATATCATGTAGTTACTAATTAATGTAACATCATAAATATATATTATTAACAAAAAAAGGAAAAAAGAAATGGCGATATGATCCTAGCAATATATATTATATGCTATAACATGGATATTTCTTACTCAATAGTATTTTTTTTCCTTGAATTATTCAAAGAATACTGTATAATATTCTGAACTACTTTAGATCACGTATATAGGGAGTGCTAAATACAGGCTCAGTTTCAAACTCTTTTACAGTTGCTAGTCTCTTAAGTGTCATCTCATATTTCTCAATCAAACTCATCTAATAAAAAGTCACTTTTTTAATATTACTTACAAGATTGCCATTTCTCTTCTTATCTCATTACCCTACATGCTGCACATCTATATCTAGTAATTATTATCAAATACGTATAACCGGAAACTAAATAAAAAATCGTAGAAAACTTAAAATAGATTACTATATATACACACACACATATTGATCAGCAAAATTACCATAAATAAAGTAAAATATAGAACACTTAGCAAATCTATCATTTCATACGTTGGTCTTGCATAACGAAGAGAAAGACACAAAAAAGAAAAAAAACTGGCATAAAAAAAAATTGAAAACTGCTAAATGCGTTGATTATTAATATTCTTCCACGTACAGACTAGACTAGCATCTGTAAGAGAGTCTCGAAACAGAGTCTGTATTTAGCATTCTTCCACGTACATATAATGATAATATTTTTAATTACAGCGAAATCCAAGAGGCAATTGACACTGGTGATGCTACGGGAAGATTGTTAAAATATGATAACAACACCCAACAAGTTACAGCTTTGCTAAGTGGACTTTCAGGAGCCGGAGGAACTTCAATAAGTTCGGACGGATCTTTCGTCCTCGTCTCCGAATTCACCGCAAACCGAATCAAGAAGTTTTGCTGACAGGTCCCAAAGCTTTCACGTCGGAAGTTTTGATCACTTTCCAGGGAAGGCCTATAAACATTAAGAGGACCTCACTAGGAGAATTTTGGGTGGCTGTTAACATTCAAACACAAAATGCATCTTCTGGTACAATAACGAATATTCCGACCGGAATAAAAATCAATTCAACCGGTAACATTCTTCGGACTGTGGATCTCAGCCAGTTTTATGGGGATACAAATATTTCTGACTTCCAACAGCGTAAAAGGCAGTTCTATGTTGGTACTCTGAGGACTGATTTTCTTGGTCGTTTGAGCATATAATAAAGGGTCATCCATATATATTAGTTTGTTTCATGTATACACATGATATATACATGTAAGAATTGAAAACTACAGCCACTACTAAAGTCTTAGTGATTAAATAAATGATGGCTAGCAATTAATATATATAGTGATATATAACATAATTCTATTATTACTATATAAATTTCAACGACTATGGCACTGAAATAATGGGTTTTTTTTTTTCTGAGAAAAAAAGATATGGTGGTACACTTCATATCTCTTAGCCCTTTCGGCTATAGAGCAATTCTAGAGACCACGAGTATGTGGAAAGGGTCTAAACTATTTTTTTTACTGACGATCTAGGGTTTTTAGGGTTTTTTTAGGTTTTTTTAGTTTTTAGTGCTTTTAGTGTTTTTAGGGTCTTTTATGTTTTTTTAGGGTTTTTTAGGGTTTTTAGGGTCTTTTAGGTTTTTTGAGTTTTTAGTATTTTTAGTGTTTTTATGCGTTTTTAGGGTCTTTTATGGTTTTTAGGGTTTTTAAAGGTTTTTAGGGTTTTTTAGGCTTTTTAGGGTTTTTTTTTTAGGTTTTTTGAGTTTTTTGAGTTTTTAGTGTATTTATGGGTTTTTAGGGTCTTTTAATGGGTTTTATGGGTTTTTAGGGTTTTTAGGGTTTTTTAGGGTTTTTAAAGGTTTTTAGGGTTTTTTAGGCTTTTTAGGGTATTTTAGGGTTTTTTTAGGTTTTTTGACTTTTTAGTGTTTTTAGTGTTTTTTTTGGGGTTTTTTGGGTCTCTTTATGGTTTTTTTGGGGTTTTAGGGTTTTTTAGGCTTTTTAAAGGTTTTTAAGGTTTTTTAGGCTTTTTAGGGTATTATAGGATTTTTTTAGGTTTTTTGAGTTTTTTGTGTTTTTAGGGTTTTTAGGGTCTATTTATGGTTTTTTATGGTTTTTTAGGCTTTTTAGTATTTTAGGGTTTTTTAGGCTTTATAGGGTATTTTAGGTTTTGAGTTTTTAGTGTTTTTTGGGTCTTTTAGGGTTTTTATGCTCTCTTAGGGTTTTTATAGGGTTTTTTTTTTACGTTTTTTTAAAGGTTTTTAGGGTTTTTTACGCAGGGTATTTTAGGTTTTTTTTAGTTTTAGTGTTTTTAGTGTTTTTATGGGTTTTTAGGGTCTTTTTGTGATTTTTATTGGTTTTTAGGCTTTTTAAAGGTTTTTAGGGTTTTTTAGGGTTTTTAGGGTATTTTAGGGTTTTTTTAGGTTTTTTGAGTTTTTAGTGTTTTTATTGTTTTTTTGGATTTTTTCGGTCTCTTTATAGTTTTTAGGGTTTTTTAGGGTTTTTTACGCTTTTCAAAGGTTTTTAGGGTTTTTTAGGTCTATTTTTTATTAGTAATGGTGCTTAGTGCCGCTTTAACTTAGAAATAAATGCTGAGTTAGACTGGATGTATATTTTCTTTCCTCAGAATTTAGTAATTTTACTTTATATTAACAAATTGAGTGACGAGATAATTGGCGTATGATCTATTAGCGGATTCCAACAAATTAGTTTGATGATGGTATTAGTGGGCGCCCAAACCGAATTAGTTGGAAAAAAAGTTGTAGCAGTGTTTAGGTATATCATTGTTGTTGATTTTATGCCTTTATTATAGATCGTTTAGAGTCAAGTATATCAAGCCAAGTTACAACAAACTTCATATCTACCAATAAATAATTACACAAAGACCGCTTTAAGGCATTGTTTGGTTTTTAAATACTCTGTTAATTAATGGCAGAATTTTCAATTTTTGAAGTATATCTTTTTTATTTTATCTTTTTTTTTTCGGATAACGATGCTTATTAATACATTTTTATATAGTTATATTTTGTACTAAAATACCAAATTAATAAGATTATACCCCTTGATGGTATGAAGAACAAAAATATATCCTTACGAAACTGGTGGATAGCTTGATAGATAATCAAAGCAAATGATAATATACTTTTATAAATGAGACTATCTTTATGAAAATGATACCGCCAACACATAACTAAACAAAAATACATATGAAATAATTGGTAGACTAATACATATATATATTCAAAACGCACTTCGGTAGCCCAAACATATAACAATAAAATCATATGATCTTTGTAAAACTGTTTGGTAGACCAAGACACAATCAAGAAACAAAATCAGTCAAAACTCAACAAAAATATAGAATGACAATATCTTTATGAAAATGAAAGCCTAGATTTAATACTAAGGAAAAACCATATACCCAACTGGCGAACTATTCTATTTTAGTTGAGACACGAACTTTTTGAATTGTTTTCATGATTCTCGTTTGAGAATTCTTTCATATGACTCTTTGTAATTTTATTTATTCTTATTAATAATATTTTAGTTGAGAGACTGATGGAGGATCAAAAAATTAATAGGTGCCAAACTAGTTGGGATGTTACATGATCCTCTAATAATTGCTTAGTTTCTTGCTTCATTCTATATAAAAAAAATAAAAAATAAGAAAAATATCTTTGTTGCACCATCTCGATCTGGGGAATTTTGTGGGCCAGGGCTTTAGGAATTGATCTCATGTTTGTAGACAAAACAACCCTTAGCTTCCTTTCCTTCGTGCATTTTTTTTTTTCCCTGAAATTTGCTCAAAGCTGTATGAACTCCACTTCAGAATCAAGAACAAGTCGGAGTCATTTGGAACAATCATTGAGAAAAAAGTCATTTTCTTGATTCAAAGCCCCTCCTGCCATGAATTTTTATTTTATAAGGTTGTTTTCTCATGGAATTGTTGTCCATTTTTTTCCTGTCAAAATTTCAAGTTTAGTCAATTTATTTCAAGAACCTAATGCTACAATCTCCATCTCTTTGTCATCAGCAATAATTTGATTTTTGATTGCCAATACATTCTTTTTTTTTTTTTAAGTACTCAACGGTGAGAGAAGATAGAAATGATATTAAATTATGCATGCACATCTTATAGGTTGACATCCACTAACAAGAAAATCTCACTCCAAATCTCTTACTCAAATTATCAAATAAATAGATGATCAAATAAAGTATACAACTGAAAATGTGAGTAGCACGAAGCGGCTTGTAACGTATAAAGAATATAATAAGAAAACGATTTTTGAAGGAAACGCACAATCGATAGCATTGTCCACTTTATATGTTCAAATTTCAGAAGGATATATATTGTCATTATCTTATGTTTCCTCCCAAGATTGTGTTGTTTATTCACCTAATGTATAATAAACTATAACCACATTAGAAGAAGAAATAAGAAATGCCTCTAATTTGATCCCTTAATTGAAAATGATTTATCCTCCAAAAAAAAAAAAAAAAAAAAGAAGAAGAAAGAAAATGATCATTTGGTCATTAATGGTCTCTGTTGCCTCAAGATTATGTGTCTCTTTAATATATTTGGATCTTCATAACTTATCATTGAAGTAAGAACAGCATTTCAGCTTATTCATCTCAAGAGTTTCATCGATTTTATCATTTTCGTGTGAAGCCAATTTTGTATCCTCATAAACGTTATCATCAATATTTTTAGACAATTTGATCCCTTTCGGAGCTTGAGCATTTTGATTTCCACCATCAGAGAATATAAACAGAGTGAAAATCAAATACAAAAGATTGCAGCCAAATTAATATATATCAATAAAAGGCCACATATTTCACAAAATCAATTGCAATTGAAGAAGATGCTGAAGAACAAGTCGAAATGAAGAAGCGCGTAGTACCAGGCAATTCAATTCACCGTTCATTTAAGTTTATTATTGTTTGTTCATAATAATTACGAGTGTCACTATAATCGAAAACGAGTATTAATGTCATTATGTTATCCTTATTATTATCAGAAAATCTAGACATTTTGAAAGTGGGAGAGTAGGATTCTGCTCTTTATCTCATTAATCAATCCAGCCAATGCTCTCTCTCTATATATATATGAACTTATTTATGATAGAGAATTTGAACTCTACACCTCATGGTGCAATTGGGTAGTACAAATCTAGGATTTAATGACCGTTAATAACTGTCGTTAAAAGATTAGATGACAGTGAGGAGAACCGTCGTCTAATCGCAAATCATTAAATGTCTGTAAAATACAACGACGGTTTTTATCCATCGTTAAATAAAACATTAGACGATAGTTTAAATCAAAAACCATCTTCTAAGATATTCCCAAAATGTTAAATTGGACGGTTACAGAGCACAATAGACGACGGTTTCTGAAGAAACCGTCGTTAAAAATGGGTGTATAACGACGGCTTCTTCAGAAAACCGTCGTCATATGTGGAATATACACCAAAAAATTGATGCTATTTTATTTCTTTTCCCACGAGTTGACCTATTAATCTTGTGTCTTATTAGCATTTTGGCCACATTTAACACAACTCATATAACATAAAAAATATTACAAATATAACATAAACATATATTACATTTTTAATTCCAAATGTATTTTCACCGTCGGAAGGGCCATCATCCTCGAATAATTCTTGTGCGGTATTAATTTCTTGCTCAAACCAATCGGGTCCCGTCATGTTTCTAAGAATAAGTATACAATTAAATACAATTACTCTAATCCTAAACTAATCAAATTACTTTAATTTTGTAAACCTAAATTAAAAATTACTAATATTAAAATTTTTAAGATCACATTTAAATATTATATATTCAAATAGTACAAATTGAGACAATTACAATTTGCAATGCTAATAATAACATTTTTAAAAAATAAACTAATAAAAACCGTCGTTTAATTCTAAACCAAGCCATTCAATTATCTAACACTAAATTAATTAAATCACAACCAAGTCTTTCAAATTTGTAATCCTAAACTAAAAATAGTTCATATTCAAACTTTTCAAACATTATATATTGGAATAATACAAATTAAAACAACTACAATCTAATAAAACTGTCATCTAATAATCTAACCTAATTAAATTATACTTAACCGTCGTCTAATAAACTTTGAACATTTAATCTAATAATCAACTAACTAAAAATTGAAGAAAACATTAAAATCATACCTCTAGATGCCTTGTTTGGAAGTTGTTGATGGAGGAGAAAGGCCGGAATGACGTTGACGGTGGTGCAGGAGAAATGTTCCAAGTTCATGCGGACTTCGATAGTGGAAATGCGACGTGATAGAAATGAAAGAGAGAAGGAGGTCGATAGAGCAAAAAAGAGAGGGAGAGGGTTGGGTACAGAAGGAGAAGGTGGAATGGGATGAGTTTTTTGATGGAGGATCGGTGGTTTGGGTGAAATCGCAATGAAGGGAGAGAAAAAGAGAGAGAGCGGCGCGAGTTTGTGTTTGGGGGTCTGGGTTAAGGGTTTGATAATTTAATTTCACAAATTGCGCACATATTAGACGATGGTTTTCAGGAAAACTATCGTCTAAGATATAATATTTAACGACAATTTTTTGAAAAATCGTCGTCTAATCCTCTGCGCTAGTTGTACAAATTTTGTCAGGAGAATTAACAATAATTTTTTTTTTTTTTTTTTTTTTTTTTTTTTTTTTTTTTTTTTTACCATTTTAAATGTCCCCTTTTGTGTAGTGGTATAGGATTTAGGTTATGCTTGACTACCACTAATGCCTTATCGACTTCATATTATAATAATTAGATAAAAAACAATGAAAAAAGCCAAATAATAAAGGGTAATTCCCTTGCCTAGCTGAAAGAATCATAAAAATAATAAAAAGAGTCAACAAAAAGAAAAAGCATAATAAATAGATGAGTACCACATGATTTATTATTCAAAAACAGAAAGTTTCATTAATTAGGACCTTGCCAATTATTAATGGCTTTATTAAATATTTAATATCAGCACGAATAAATAAATATTAATCTATTAGTTATAATGGCTATAAAAACTGATGCAGATTGTTATGCATCTTCATTCAATTTTAGACAATTTGGCTTTAATGAAACAGTGACCATGCTCCTCATTCTCCTCATCTTCCTTTCTGTGCCCTCTAATTATATTGTTCTTTCTCAACAAATATCGACCTTTCGGAAGCTTAATCTGCCAACAACTTCAGTAGGTCCTGAACCTATAGATTTCGATGCCCTTGGTAGAGGACCGTATACAGGCATCTCTGATGGTAGAATTGTTAGATATGACAAACGTACATCAAGTTTCGTTGATTTTGCCTTTGCATCGCAGAATAGGTAGGTTTTTTTTTTTTTTTTTTTTTTTTTTTTTTTTTTTTTTTTTTTGTTTTGCTATGATCTAATTTTAGCAATATTCTAAGGAAAATTTAAACCACATCAGCGTTTTCGTAATGGATTGGGGAAGCTTTAGGTTTTAGGGTATCATTTGATTGGAGAAAGTTTGGTCCAGCTAGGTAATGCCCTAGTTGGCACTATATGCCTCCATCGTCACTAAAGTATGCCATTGCCACAGCACTAATACTACCATCAATTATATTTTCCGATCTTTTTTTTTCTTTTTTTTTTTTGGAATAAATTACGAGAGGAATCTTGATATCAAAACTACTCAAAACATCCAAACTAGGTTGGCACCCTCTGAACAAATTGTCCTTTACCAAACCCCAACACAAATATTAATAAAAAAGAGAGAAAAAACAATCAAAGAGTCAGCAAAAGAAAAGGGAAAAAAAGAAAACAACCCAGAGAAGCAGTAACTAGCAAGGCACTAACCTAAACCAGGACAAAAAACTGATTTGTAGATCTAGAAGATCCAGCAGGGTCTAACAGCAGTAGGTCAAGCCTAAACTAACCCTATGCACGAATCCTGCGCAGACTAAGCCTCATTAAAACCTCTCAAGGAAAGCCCAATAGGAAAAACCAAGAAAGGAATAAGAGTACTCAGTCTCAGAATATTAAGAAAATCTATAACAAGGGAGCCCTGGCATATCTCTAGAAATCAAAAAAGTAGAAAAATAAGGCGCAGTCCACCACCATTCTGGTTCTTGCAGATGAATCGCTTGAGTAGCTAGCTTGTCAGCAACTTGATTACCTTCTCTGTAAATATGTGAAACAACATTGCGCATATTTTCCGATCTAAAGCAATGACTTTCATCTCTTCTAGTATTCATTGTTGCCGAGGATCCTTGATCAGTTTGATTTATGTTTGCACGTTTTATAGAGATATAAAACTCCCATATCTCTTTTAGCAAAAAAAAAAAAAATCTAGAATGATTAAATTAAAAAAGAAAAAGGAAATGGAAAGAGTTCTCCTCGTCAGAAAGATATTTATTCAATATCGTAATTAATAGTAATTTGTAGAAAAAGCTAGGTTTATTGATACATTTTGGTGGGAAAATTTTATTTTAGCACCATGTATTATATTGAAATACGCGTTTTGTATCCCTGTGTTTGCGGAGGAATTACGTCGAGTGGGGTTGGGCTCGACAGATATTGGCTCGCCGAAGAGATAGAGAGGGTTTGTTGGGATGGAGAGAGAAGAGAGAGAGAGAGAGAAAGAGTTTTTAGAGAGAGAGAGTTAATTTTAATTATGGAATGGGGTTTTCAGTTTTTTTTTTTTTTTTAAATTTTTAGATGTTTAAAAATATTTTCAATTCTTTTTAAATTATTTGTTTCTATTTGATTAACGAGGGTAAAAATGATATTTCAAAAAATGACCATAAAATACCAAAAAAAAGGTTTTCTATAAAACGTCGACGTGTCTACTTCATATTATTAAAAACACAAGGTACTAAACGGATATTTCAACATAATACGGGGTACCAAAATAAAATTTTTGTCACTAAGTTACATTATATTATGTATGTACTATCCTCGATGCCTGACATTTATCTTAATATATACATGCACACTTTAGAAGAAATTTGCTTGGCGCTATTCTTACTTAGCCAAACTTTTTAGATAACAATGATATAGGTAATTTGGTTTCTGAATTAGCCCTTCAATTTGAGTTTATGGCCAATTTGATCCGTAGCACTGATAACATTGTGGATAGACTTTCGATATTTAGTGGAAGATATTGTGTTCATTGTGTAATAATTTAAAATTTTACAAAACCGTTACCATTAGATGGAAAATATAATTAAAAAGGACTTCAACTATATGACGAGAACATTTTTGCATTTTTTCTTTTTGTATCCGATTTTGTACAATTTTAAGTTATTATACGGCGGAGTACACGCGATTACCACCATTAAATTGTAAAATCCAATTTTCATTTTATGTTTATGGGATAATAAATTAATTAATTCATAAATTAGCCACTAATCAAAAATAAAAAAGTCCCTGGATCAAATCAGCGACTAATATCTAAGCTTATTTATATTCAGGTCAAAGGCAGTGTGTGATGGAACAAATAGTCCAGCTTTACGCCCTGTTTGTGGGAGGCCATTAGGTATCGAATTCTTCCATCGGAGGAATTTGCTATTTATTGCCGATGCTTTTGCAGGGCTGTGTGTGGTTGGACCAAATGGAGGACTTGCAACCCAACTTGCCACTACTGCAGAAGGAATATCTCTCAGATTTTTAAACGGTTTGAGTGTTGATCAACATACTGGAGATGTCTATTTTACAGATTATAGTTCAAGATTCTTGCAAACGTAATTCTTCTTTCTTTCTTTCTTTCTTTCTTTAACTTAACAAAACTAGGGAAGTATACTACTAAAATATGCTTTAAGAAAGACAACTTTTTACACGTTCTTTAGAAAAACGAAAAAAGAAAAAAAGGAGATGAAAAACATCGTTTGTAGAACCCCCAGAATACCGTACGGTTAATTATATCACACTATAATAATCTCGACAATTATTTAACAAGTAAAATAAAATCAATAGGCACATATGTTTGTGATATATATATATATTCCTGAGCAGGAAAAATAAACTATTTAGTTTTCAACTTTTGACACTTGAGTTTCTATTTCGAAAATTTGGATAATAGCGTCCCCAAATTCTATCTTTTGATACGATGGTGGGGTTACACTTTTTTTCTTACTTATTGCAGCCAAATCCAACAAGCAATTGCTGCCAATGACTCAACGGGAAGGTTGCTCAAGTATGATTACAGAACTAAAAACGTTACAGTGCTGCTACTAAGGGGCCTTTCTGGGGCAAACGGTGTTGCAATCAGTTCCGATGGCACGTACCTACTTTTCGCCGAGTCCATCGCTAACAGAACTCAAAGATTTTGGCTACGTGGGGCTAGAGCTTTTACGTCTGAAGTTGTGGCCAATTTTCAGGGAATGCCTCGTAATATTAGGAGGACACCTTCTGGAGATTTCTTGGTGGGAGTGAGCGTACAGAGGCCAGGAGCACCAAGTATAGTCCCCACGGCAATAAGAATCAATGGCGCAGGCCAGATTTTGCAGACTTTGCCACTTGACCACTACTATAACACTACTGTTATCAGTGAATTTCTACAGCGTGGCTCGAGGTACTATGCAGGATCCGCCCAGGCGAATTTTGTTGGTGTTTTTAATTGGTAATCATGAAGTTTAATTGGGTTTGGCCAAAATCATGATGTAGATTGCCAACCCTAAATTATATGGTTAACTGAAAGTTTCCTTGCTGCGTTCTACTAAAACTATGTTTATAATAAAAGCTAGGGTCTGCAGTTATAACTAGCTGGTGCAAAACATAGTAGCTTTTTCTAGGGCTGAAAGTGATGATAATTGTAGAGAGAACAAACATGCATGCAAAGAAGATTATGGGTGCATTCTTGGAATTTTAAATTGTGTTTTTAAAAACCATATTATTTACCTCATTTTTGTAAAGCACTGCTACTAGTTCTACAATTAATAGTTTCTAGTAACTACCACTTTTTTTTGTTTTGACTAGTAACTACCACTTATTACAATTTCTATTTAGTAAATAAGGAAAAAAAAATACAAAAGTTTAAAGAAAATGACATAATAAAAATAAAAAGACAACCCTAAAAACATTAAAAAAATATAGATAACAAAAAAAAAAAAAGAAAGAAAAATAGGTTGAGATAATCAAAAGAATTACGTCTTTAAAGAGAGTATACCTTATCAAAATGATTTCAAAGTTCCATGATCCTGAATTAGAGTGACCATCACTTCAAGAATAAGAATCCAGCGATAGAACTTTTAGAAACGACATATCATTTTTCAAATATAGTTCGACACTGATGTTGCAATTAGTCGGCGCTACAGACTTTTGGTGACGACTCTTAGCAACGGGTTTGTTTTTGATAAATGCAAAAGTTTCCATCAACACCTACCTTTCGTGACAAAATTTTTTTGTCCTACTTTTCTCCTTCACCGTCTATTTTTCTTAACCACCAACAGCTGCCATTGTCATCGCCTTCCCATACCATCATTTTTCTCTATAAATCTCAACATGCAATTTTTGTTTTTTAGGTTGGAGGCTCAACGCTCACCAACTTTATAGAGGGACTTCCTGTTCACATGGAACCTTTATGAGCAACAATAGGGGAGATTAATTTACCAAACCCTTGAACGGAAAATTGTAATGGGAAATTAATGTAATGGGATTGAAGAGGTCAACAAATTAGTAATAAGAATGAATACGCATCATTGATTCTTTTAGTAATAGGAAACTTGGAGAGCAAGTAAACTAGTCACCACAGGGAATATATTCCCCTACGTTGTGAGCCTCTTGTGTCCCATGATGTGCGCCAGTGCTGAAACTTTGGACGGGTCGCCCGTGACTACCGAAAAGTCCAAATTTTTGCCCGATGACCGAACCCGATCTGCCCGAAAATTCGGGCTGCCCGACCCGACCCGAAAATTCCCATGGACGGGCTTCGGGCAGAGGAAGCCTGCCCGTGCCCGGTCGGGCTGCCCGATGCCCGACCGGCTGCCCGAAATTTTTTTTTTTTTATATTATATTTTTATGTTGTTGAAATAAGTATTTGTATAATTACAATGTGTAATTGTGTATATTACAATTTGAAATATGAAATGAACACACAACACGAACGAACTATATAAAAAAAATTACTTCTTCATTGATTTTTAAATTTGTAATTCATGATTGCCTCATTAAAAACCTTACCAAGAAAAACCCAATTGGGATAAAAACTTGGTAAGGAAAAAAGAGTGCAATCATTGTGGGACGAATTACAAATTTGATGAACTTACAAAGTCTATACAAGATTACAA